CCATCCCCCCTGGGGGGTGATTTCTCGCTTTCTGTCTCTATGTCTCTCTGTCTGTCTGGCGAGCGCACGTGCCCTATAGCGAAAACCTCTCAAAAAAAAAAAAAAAAAAAAAGAAAAGAAAAAAAGAAATTATGCCCCAGGGGGATGACGCCACCACAATCCCCTCTCCTCCAGTTTTCTCTTGGGATTTTGGGCATGCTTGCGCACACACTTGGTGTGTTTTTTTGTTTGTTTTTCGGAGAGTTTTGTTTTGTTTTGTTTTTGCTATAGGGCACATGTGCTAGCCAGAAAGACAGAGAGAGAGAGATAGAAAGTGAGAAATCACCCCCCAGGTGGGATGGTCACACCACAGTCCCTTCTCCTCCATTCTCCTCTCGGGATCTTGGGCACGTACGTACATGCGCCCGGCGTGAGTTTAAGCCATGGGGTCTGGGAATCAAACCGCAGTCGGCTACATGGGAGTTCAGCAACATAGCCCTTACACTAACTGCTGGTCCCACACTTGGTGTGTTTTTCAAGGAGCCAGGTCTGGGACTCAAACTGTGGAGTTGACCATGTGGGATCCAGGCACCTTAGCCACCACACGGCTGACCAGCCTACGGAAACATTTCTTAATTCATTCTATAAAGCTAGTATTATCCTAATGCCCAAACTTATCAGATAAAGACATCTTAAGAAAAGGAAGCTACCAGCAGGTGGTGTGGTAGTTAAGGTGCTGGACACTCCCACATGGGCAACCATGGTTCCAGTCCCAGAACTGGTGGCTTGCTTTCTAATTTTCTCTCTCTCTCTCTCGGTATCTCTCTCTCTTTGGTCGATTAAAATAAATAAATGAATAAGTAAATGGAATTAAATGGACAAATCTTTTTTTTTTTTTTTGAGAGGTTTTTGCTGTAGGGCACGTGCAGTCACCAGAAAGAGAGACAGAGAAAGACAGAGAGATAGAAAGTGAGACATCACCCCCAGGGGGGATGGCCATGCCGCAATCCCTTCTCCATTCTCCTTCTCGGGATCTTGGGCACACACGCAATGCGCCCGGTGTGAGTTTAAGCCACTGCATCTGGGACTCAAACTGTGGTCGACTACATGGGAGTCCAGCGACATAGCCATTATGCTAAATGCTGGGCCCTTAAATGGATAAATCTTTAAAAAAAAAAAAAAGAAAGAAAAGAAAAGAAAAGAAAGCTACAGACTAATATCTTTTATAAATATAAACACAAAAATCTTCAACAAAATACTAGCAAACGAAATCTAGCAACATATAAAAGGATTATACAACATGATTAAGTGGAATTTATCTCATGAATTCTCAAATATTAATCAACACACAAATATTGATTAATATAATATATCATATTAATGGAATAAAGAACAAAACCATTCAATCATTTCAGTAGTCAAAACATTTAATAAAATCAAACACTCTTTTCATGATAAAAACACACAATAATCTTGGAATAGAAGGAAACTTTCTCAGGGTGATAAAGTGCATCTAAATACCCCACAGTTAGGGACCAGCAGATGGCATAAGACATCACTGGACTCTCACATAGTTAACCATGGTGCCACCGGCTAGCCCAAGAAGTGCAGTATTTGTACACCAAAAACTACAAAACATAGTTGAAAGACATAAAGAAGAGCTAAATAGATGGGAAGACATTCCATATTCATGGATTACAAGTCTGAATATTCTTAAGAGGGCAATACTCCCCAAACTGATCTATGGATGCAATGCAATTCCTATAACTTGATTGTTCCCATAAATTGACAAGTTGATCTTAAAGTTCATATGGAAATGCAAGAGACCTAACATTTCTAAAGCAATCTTTTTTTAAAAAAACCATTATTCTATTTAACTTTACTTATTTATTTATTTAAATTTGACCAGTGAGGGACAGAGTGAGAGAGAGAGAAAGTGAGAATGCAAGCTGCTGCTGCTTTTTTTTTTTTTTTTGGAGAGGGTTTTGCTTTAGGGGGCATGTGCTTGCCAGAAAGACAGAGAGAGACATAGAGACAGAAAGTGAGAAATCACTCCCTAAGGGGGATGGCCATGCTGCAATCCCTTCTCCTCCATTCTCCTCTTGGGATCTTGGGCATGCATGCATATGCACCTGGTGTGAGTTTAAGCAACCAGGTCTGGGACTTGAACCATGGTTGGCTATATGAGAGTCCAGTGACGTAGCCATTACACTAACTGCTGGTCCCAAGAAAGCAAGCTCCTAGGTCCAGGACTCGAACTGCGGTCAGCCATGTGGGAGTCCAGCACCCTTAACCACCATGCCACCTGCCAGCCCTGTCTAAAGCAATCTTAGAAAAGGAGAACGAAGTTGAAGAACTCACACTTCCCAATATCAAAACCTACTACAAATCTCAGGAAACCAGCAGTTACCGTAATGGCTATGTTGCTGGATTCCCATGTAGTTGACCGCGGTTCGTGTCCCGGACCCAGTGGCTTAAAACTCACGCCGGGCGCGTGTGCATGTGTGCCCAAGATCCCGAGAGGAGAATGGAGGAGAAGGGATTGGGGCGTGGCCATCCCCCCTGGGGGGTCATTTCTCGCTTTCTGTCTCTATGTCTCTGTCTGGCGAGTGCATGCGCCCTATAGCAAAAACTTCTCAAAAAAAAAAAAAAAAACCTACTACAAATCTCAAGTTAAGCCTTTAGCTTTTTTGATACTGACATAAGAATAGATATAAAGCAATATGGGTCCAGAAATAAACCCACATATTTAAGGTCAACTGATTTCTTTTTCCTAGAGAATTATTTTATTTAACTCTATTTATTTATTTAAATTTGACCAGAAAGGGAGAGAGAGAAAGAGAGAGAGAGAGAGAAAGCACCAGGCCCAGGACTTGAACCAAAGTCAACCATGTGGGAGTCCAGCACCCTTAACCACCATGCCACTTGCCAGCCTGAGGTCAACTGATTTTTGACAAAGTGCCAAGAAAAATGGATAGAAGCAAGAATAGTTTTCTCAATAAACTTTGCTGAGAAAATTTGGTATGTAACTGCAAAAGAATAAAACTGGACCCCTACCTCACACCATGTACAGTTTATCTCGAATGAAAGAGACCTAAGTGTAATAATTAAAATTGTAAAATTCTCAGAAGAAAACATAGGTGTGAATCTTTATGACCTTGAATTAGGCAATGATTTCTTAGATATGTTATCAACAGCATAAATAAAATATTAATTGAACCTTATCAAAATTGAAAAAAATTTGTGCCACAAATGATACTATCACAAAGTGAAAGGACAACTCACATAATAGGAGAAAACATTTGCAAATTATATATCTGAGGGACCAGAAGTTGGCATAATGACTATGGCGCTGGACTCCCATGTAGTTGACCACAGTTCGAGTCCTGGAACCGGTGGCTTAAACTCACGCTGGGTGCGTGTGTGCACGTGCCCAAGATCCTGAGAGGAGAAGGGATTGTGGTGTGGCCATCCCCACTTGGGGGGGAGGGGAGTGATTTCTCTCTTTCTGTCTCTCTGGTAAGCACACATGCCTTATAGCAAAAACCTCTCAAAAATGATATATTTGGTAAACATCTAGTATACAGAATATATAATTCAACAATAAAAAGACAAACCATCCAACTACAAAAATGGCAAAGAAATTGAATATTTTTGCATAGAAAAGAATGGCATGGTGGGCCAGCAGGTGGCATAGTAGTTAAAGATACTGGACTCCCACATGGCTGACTGCAGTTCAAGTCCTGAACCTGGCAGCTTGCTTTCTCATTTTCTCTTTCTGTGGTCAAAATTAAAAAACAACAATAATAAATAAAATTAAATAGTTCTTTTTTGTTTGTTTTTGTTTGGAGAGGTTTTTGCTCTGAGGGAGAATTTCTCATTTTCTGTCTGTTTCTCTCTTTCTCTCTGGTGAGCACAGGTGCCCTAAAGCAAAAACTTCTCTGCAAATAATAATAGTAATAATAAAATAACTCTTTAAAAGAAAAAGTAGCCATAGAGCAGAGATGGTAGCCACATCATCTAAATCTGAAGAAAATGCATCTACTAGGCCAGCGGTGATATGGCAGTTAAGGTGGCTATATATCACATGGCTAACTGTATGGTTCTAATCCTTGTCTGGCAGTTTGAAAAACACGCCAGGTACATGCCAGTGCATGATCAAAAATCCTGAGAGAAGAAGAAGAAGAAGGGATTGCTATGTGGCCATTCTCCCTGAGGAAAGCACCCTCAATTTGCCACTTTCTCTTTGAGGCGTGCACACGCTCTATAGCAAAAAAATAAAACTACTACTTACCTACCTGGAACTCTTACTTCTCTGTTGTATTTGCCTCGGTACTCCTCCACCCATCCCCCCAACAAACACACTTTTTTTTAAAAACAACTTTATTTAGGTATAGCCTCTGGATCTTAGGAGTGCGCTCCTTTGAGGTAATCGCATTCCCTTCGCCCTTTGGAGCACCACCACCACACACCTACGAAGATCCCCTTTCCTTTCTCCTTTCCCCCATATTCTACAAACACGTGTGACCTGTGTGTACAACACTTGCTCAGCCTCTCTCCCCAGCCCAGCCCACAGCAAACCCGGCCCTTTCTCTTTCCGGAGCCCCACCCCTCGGCTCCTTTCCAACTCTGCCCCTGCGGATCTCGCCCTTCTTCGCCCCGACTTCTCGCGAGAGGTGAGCGCGCCTGGCCGGACGGGAGGAAAGTATCTGCTCTGCTGAGGGGGGAAAGAAGGAGCTGGAGACGGATTGTGGGACAGAGCGCGGGCGGGCGGGCGGGAGGCTTCGGAGCTACCAACGGGTGAGTCCTGTTAACGTTAGCCAGTCCATGATCTGACGGGAGTCTCCCCTTCAACTCTAGCCAGTCCCAGCGTCCCGGGCCGGGGTCTCCCCTCCCAGTCTGTGTTGGACGGGGGCGCTGAGGCGGTGGCCGGGCCCTGTCTGAGGAAGTGGGTGGGGCACAGGCTACAGTCGACCAATAAGAGAGAAGGGAGGCACGATCGGCGGCTCCGAGCACTAATCAGCAAATCACTTTTTTACCTTGCTGAGTACCGCCCCCTTCTCTCTCCTCCCGCCTCCTTCCTTTGGGGGGAAGGCGGGGCCAGAGGCCTGAAGTGTGGGGAGAACTTGGGGGTAAGTAGCCCCGGGGGGCACAGGGCGTGGCAAGGAGAGGGGAATTGAATCCTGAGGGAAGGTCAGTTTAGTGGAGCCAGTGGAAGGCTCGTGGAATGGGAGAAAGGAGAGGTACTTAACTAGGTTGAAGACTGGGCTTCCGAAAGAAGTGGGGGTCAGGGTCTTGGCACTGGAAAAGGCAGGGGGAATAGGCAGGAGGTAGGGAGGAGTAGGTGAGAACAGGATCTGGACGAGGTGACATGCACTGGGTTTGGCTCGGAAGATAGGTAGAGAAAGAGCACTGGAAATGAGGGTCAAGGCATTTTGATTGAACTAATAAAAAAGAACACTAGGGTCATGATTTCAGAGTGAAAGTATGAATTTGGAGAAAATTAAGTGAATGAGTTTAGGAAGACAGTATGGGTGGGCTGAGTGGCCAAGAAGCATGGTTTTGGGAAGGGTTTGAGAGTGGAGAGGGATAAGGGAGGTGTTTGGAAAGGAAACGGCTGATCTTTATAGGCTTTAACCTAGGTATCAATAAGAGGCCGGGATGTTGATTTAGGACTTCTGGTGGATGTGGCCCCTAGGCTGGTGACCATCCTGCAAGCATGCAGGGATGGGGTAGAGAAAGGGGAAAAAAAAGAACGCATGGATCACTTCTCTGATTTTCTTTCTCCCTCTCTTCACCTTCCCAAACGTCCTCACTTCCAGAACACAGGGATGTGGGTTTGGGACTTAGGCAGTCCAAGTTGGAGCCCCATAGGGACTTATATGTTTCTCTGAATTGCTTGTTATGTTCTCTGGGGTGTTTACTACTCAGGGAACCTCCTACCCAGATTCCCGTGTTGCTACTCTCCTAACTTTAAAAGTTTGTTTTCAACTTAACAGAGACTGTTTGAGTATCTCTGATGGTTGTGTCATATTGGTTTTGTGGGGGTGTGCAGCAAGCTCACTTGATTCCTGTTTAAAATTTTTGCAGTAGTGTAATTCTTGTAGAGACATCATCTTTGTAAGCATTTAGAGCACACATGTACTAAAATGAAATTTGTTTAAGTACTTTCCCCACTCATTCTTGAAGCATTGTTAAGTGGATGGTTGCAGATATTTTAAATAGCGTATATATATTTTAATGTAAATAACATAGACACATATTTCAGGAAAGTGAACATTTTTCAGTTTCTTCCTTTATGTCCAGACACAGAAACTAAAGATATGTCATAATATCTTAGGGGAAGGGTTGGGGAAATCAAACACAGTTTGTTGAACATGGAGGATGTAAGGTAAGTGGAGGCTATTGCGAAATGTAACATGTCTGTAAGAAAAGAAGCTAAAGGAAAGCTTGGCAGCTGTACTAGTAGTCTTACCAGTTTGTTCTTAATTCTGTACAGAAAAGTCCAGGCCTTTGCCCTTTGTTTAATAGCTGAGTATCTTTTAATGATGGACTGAATTTAATACAGCCAATTAGGTTTTTTTTGCTGTTATGTAGATTTTCCTTTCACATTCTTTCCCCTTTTATTTTTGAGAAGCAAAATGCCTGAAATACCGGTAACGCTGTTCTATAAAGAAAATTGGAGTACACATAATTCCGTATTAACCTTTGATTTTGAGCAACCAGTTGAAGCTTTTCTCCCTGGCTAGCAAGGTGCCTTTACAGCACATTGAGACCCAATTAATAACTGACCCTGTAGCATTAACTACCGAGTTGGGTTCCAGTATTTCATGTTAAGAACTTTGCAATTGGACATTCAGAACATTTTCACTGTTTGCCTGGCAGAAGCACAAAAAAAAGTCCAGTGAGAGAGTAAAAGTCTCTTTATTTCGGTCATCTATCCTAGAATTTGTGATGGCTTTCACTTGGGCACCATTCAGTTCAAGATTTTTTTTTCTTTTCAGTAGTGTTACCTCGCAGAAAGCTACAGAGTGATAACATTGCTCATCTTTCAACTTGTGGATCAAAGTTTACACCCTGTGAATGTTGCAATTTTTAAACACATTTGTTTACTATGTTTTAAAAATGTTAGTAATCATTGTGACTGTATCTTGTCTTTCTCTCCTCACTTCCAACCCAGAATGAAAATTGTTTTTTTCAGCCAACTCTTTAAGCTGTATTTTACCTGAAATAGCATCTGGCTTTCCCTGAACATAGGTACTCTGAAGTTTTCAGAAGTTACCATTTTGTGCCTATCAAGACTGTTTCTTAGGCTGTAGTGGAAAGGAGTCAGTGTTAAAACAACTTCCTATCCACGTCTGATAAGGAGGAGGCTTCTCCCTGCAAGGAAGTTTTAGGTGGAGCAAATAGCACTGCCATGTAAATGTCTAATAAAGACAGCTCTCTTCTTGAGACCAGTTGGCAGGCTGGCATATAATTGTCCCTTATCCCTTGATAAAAGTACTGAAGTTAAGGTGCAGATGTTGTTTTTGGAGAAAAACAAATGCAGCATTCATTAAAAAACAAAAAGTATTTTGTTGTTGGTTTCTCCGAAATGGTTTGATTTGGGAATTCATGAAACTCTTCTCTCTAAAAACATGTCAAAACAGTTTTTAAGATTCTTTGACGTGTACTCATTTTAAAATGTTGTCTTTTTCTAAGAGGCTTCTTTGTAGACCTAGCATATTCATGATAAGTGAAAACACATCATATTTGGAATCACTGCTGGGTGGTCTTTTGGCTTCTGAATGCTGTAAGGAAGAGGTGCCTACTTCACAGATACTCTGTTTCTGTTACTGGAGCTCTACTTTTAGAACATTCTTTACATTGTGCTCAAGCTCTTTAGTTCTGTCATCTGAAGCCACAATAAATAAAACTAATTCCTTGTCAACATGATAAACTTCAAATATTTGGTGACACTTAAGACATCTCTTTAGGGGCTGGCAGGAGGCATGGTCGTTAAAGCACTGGGCCCCCTCCCACATGGCCAGCTGTTGTTGAGTCCTGGACCTGGTATCTTGCTTTCTCACTTTCCCCCCTCTCTCTGGTCAAATTAAAAAATAATGATAATAAATAAAATTAAATAAATAATTATTATTTTTTTTTAAAAAAACATCTCTTTCTGGGGCCAATATCCTACATTCTTTTAGCTATTCCTTAAGTGGCATTTTCAGTGAAGTTAAGGCTCTTTGATCAATTTAGTTGCCTGAGTTTTTAGGTTTCTTATCTAGCTCTGAATGTAATATCTCAGAAATAATCTAATAAATACAAAATACTGGAAGGAGCATGACTTTTTTTTTTTACTGCATTTAATACATTTTTTTTTAATTATTAGATTTTTTTTCCCCTTGTGTGTGTGTGAGAGTGAGAAATTATCTCCCAGGAGGGATGGCCATGCTGGTAGTCCCTTCTCCATCCTGCTCTCAGGATTCTTTTTTTTTTTTTATAATAGAGTTATTTAATTTATTTATTTATTTGGAGAGGTTTTTGCTATAGGGCACATGTACTGGCCAGAAAGACAAAGAGAGACAGAGAGACAGAAAGTGAAAAATCACCCCCCAGGGGGGATGGCCATACCACAATCCCTTCTCCTCCATTCTCCCCTCAAGATCTTGGGCATGCACACACACACACACGCCCCACGTGAGTTTAAGCCACCGGGTCCGGGACTCGAACTGCAGTTGACTACATGGGAGTTCAGTGACACAGCCATTACGCTAACTGCTGGTCCCCTGCTCTCAGGATTCTGAGCAAGCACACATAGTGCCCAATGTTTTTTCCAAGCTGCTGGTTAGGGACCTGAACAGTGGAGTTGGCCACCACGTGGGATCAGCCTTAGCCACTATACCACCTGCTGGGCCATCTGTACCTCTGTATTTAAAGACCGAGGTCACATTAATTTATGTACTTGGTTTTTTAAACATGATTGAGAACTTTACATTTATCCCTGTAATTGTGATCTTGCTAGTTTTAGTTTATTATTGTAGCTTGATAATGTTATTTAGACCATTCCTCATATCTTTGAAAATTTTTTTTCTAGAGAATTCTTTATTCAGTTGATTTATTATTATTACCATTATTTTTAATTTGCTGTAGGATATGTGTGTTCACCAGAGAGAGACAGAGTGAGAGAAAGTGAGAAAACCAGCTGCTAGGTCCGGGACTCAAACTGCAGTCAGCTATGCAGGAGTCCAGCGCCTTAACCACCACACCACCTCCTGGCCCTTTGAATTATTGATAATTTGATAAATAATGATGTTTGTCCTTTTGTTTGAGGTTTCTGGTAAAAATATATGAAGGTGGACCAGTGTTATACCACACTAATAGACTATCATTATGTTAACATTAGTACACTAATCAACCTTTTGGGTAAAATTTAGTTATGAATTCCACCTACTGTTTTATGTCGTATAACCTTTATTTTCTTTGAAGTATTGAAATCCAAATATATTCTGTCTCTGACATCCATGACCTCCTTGGCTAGTGACTCTGTCAAAAAAGAAAAGGAGGACCCAGTGGTAACAGAAGTGCCCTGCAAGGCAGGCAGTTATATGGACTGCTAGTTTGTAAACCTGGGTTGGTTTGAAAACACTCTGAGTATGCAGCCCAGCAGACCAAGATCCTGAGGAATTGGAACACTGGGGAAAGGGCATCATAGTATGATGAGCGCTGTTAAGGCTGCTTCTTTCTCTCTCTCTCTCAGGCACTCAAAAGACAAAAAGAAAAAAGAAAGGTAGAAACAGCCATAGAGATGTTAAGTGGGAGGGCTTTACTGTGTAGTGCTACACGGAAGGCCCAGGTCCAGCTCCCAGCTCAGCCCCAACAGGCCGGGCACAGTGTCATGTGTCTGTGATCCTCACTAATTGGGAGGCTCATGACATGGCAGGGCTATCATGCCATCTGCTGGTCCCGCCCTGAATATTTTAAATTAGAAATTAAAGAATTGGGGGGCCAGCAGGTGGTGTGGTGGCTAAGGGCGCTGGACTCCCACATGGCCGACCATGGTTTGAGTCCTGGACCTGGCAGCTTGCTTTCTCACTTTCCCTCTCTTTCTCTCTTACTCTGTCCCTCTCTGGTCAAATTAAAATAAATA